GATTAAACAGTCTCTGAACGACATCGAATTACTATTGCGTACTTTGAAACGAGAAAACTTCAAATCGATAATATTTAATCGAATTAAATTTAATCAGAATACGTTAAGTGGCGGTGTATTGCAAAAATAGACGCAGTTATCTCGATACAATTTATTTGTAAGTAGACATATATAACTAATAAACGTTAAAGGTTTTATTCTGTTTAATAGCCGTTTTTACTTGGCAAATAGAACGACCGAACTTGTTTGTGTCGGTTGAGTTTCAATAAGATTTATATAGAACCGCACTGATGTCGTCTCGAAACACACAGATATTTAAAACCGAAGCTACGAGGTCCATTCTTTATTGACAGATAACCAACATCTAAAAAAACACTGACGGAACGAGAAAACTTTATTGGAAGCAGACCGATGAATAATTTGTATTTTGTTGTCCACAACAAAAACAGGGCCAATAACGTCTATGTCGCAATATGGTAACGAAAGAAAGTTTAGCCGCTTCTCTGAACTCGACTGTTTTGTTTGTTTAAAAACGCACGGGACTTTTTTATTTCTCCATCGCCTACACTATTTTAATGTTATTGAGAGCCAGTCTTAGTATTTCGCAATTAAAAAGTTGCAAGGGATTAATTATAAGTAAGAGACGGTTTGGACTTTTAATTCATTCGTATTCTATACATTATTACTTAGTTTTTAGTTCAAATGTAATATAAATTACTGGACGTAACACATTCTGGTGTTTTTTAATTCGACGTCCGGTTTGTACAAAGTTTTAAACACAGCTGGACGATCGCAGATGGCTCATATTTTAAAAGATTCAAAATTCTGTAAGATTTTTGGCTGCGGACTGAATAGTTATAATAACATATTCAATTAAATAAATTCAAACATAAATAGTTATTGAAAAATTCAATTACTTTAAACAAAATTTATTGTTTTTGTTTTTTATGCAATATCAGATTTGTATTTTTGAAAACTAGGACACTATTATGCATGGCGGCCACGGATTTTTGCTTTTATATTAATTAATTAAAAGGGATTTTTTCATGAAATGAATAAAGCCAAAAAAACAATTAGGAACAAAGAAATGGTTATATCATACTCATAAATTTTTGTGTACAAAGAACGCAGTAAATTATTTGTTGATAAGGGGTAATTATTTTTCAAATCCATCTACAACTCATAAATATATTTAATTATAAAGTAAATAATCATCGGCCGAGAAAAGTACAAATAACTGTCTACGTTTCGACACATATTCGTTGAATTTATTTTTTAAATGCAATAACAGTTACGTTATAAAACGGATAAGATTTAAATAATAATGATAGCTTATTATTATTATAATTTTTGTTAGTTCTCAAAACGCGTTTTCTCACTTGTTAAACTAATATACATAAATAAACTAAACAAAATAAAAAAACTCCATTTAAAAAAAAAAAAAAAAAAAAAATTACAATATTTATTGTACTTTAACCTGTATAATATTATGATCGAAAAATTAACTGCGTACACATCTTTAGAAATTTAGTTTTCCATATTTCATGACTTGCTAATCTCTTTTTGGCTTGATTATTTGCTTACTCGAACAAGTCAAAACTATAGTATCGGAAATGAGGTCATTAAAAATATCCTAATATATTTCTGTATTGCTATGATCAGGCTAATAACAAATACTCACATTATTTAAAAATATTAAATGAAATAATGAAAAACGTATTAAAACCACGGGAAATAAATATACAACATTTTGAAGGGGGCAAATTGAAAAATATTAAATTAATACCGCGAAAATACCAAAGTGCTTTTATATTCTTACCGAAATGTCATCAAGGACTTCAAGTTTAACACGGTCTAGATATAAAAATACACAAACCGCGATTCACCTGCTGTAATTATGTTATCGTGGTAATTATTTCTAAAATACTAGTGCAAAGTTATTATTGGCCAGTGAGTAATGACACAATTAATTATTGTCAGTAAAATAATTTCCCTGTTCACGTAGGCCGCCAGTCGAAAGTGTATGTTTCCACTTAAAAGATTAAAGCCGACAGAATTTAAAAGGGGACTTTGATGATCGCTGCTGTAGAATTAAATAACATTCATGGCCGTTCGGACCAATAATTCGGTTTTTTTGTGCTAAAATTACTGATCGACGGTGGACGAATAAAAAAAAGACGCGTTTAAAAATAAAATAATAATTTATGACGGCGGTCTAATTTATCGAGTGTCCCCAGATTACGACAGCGCAGCGTGTCGGCATTACTATGTGATTCTAATAAAATACACTNAAAATTACTGATCGACGGTGGACGAATAAAAAAAAGACGCGTTTAAAAATAAAATAATAATTTATGACGGCGGTCTAATTTATTGAGTGTCCCCAGATTACGACAGCGCAGCGTGTCGGCATTACTATGTGATTCTAATAAAATACCTTTTTTTTTATTCATAGGAAAACCCGTGTCGCTGTAGAACGCGAAACAATCGGACTCGCCGAAATAGTTATGAAATTATTGCTATTGTTATTAATTTTAATAAAAGCACAGCGACCGTAACTGTTTGTTGCACTCGTATTTCATACTGATAACACACGGTGTCAAACAATCGAAGGGGTTTAATTTTCCGGGCGCGTGATTTGAAAAAGGGTAGCCGCCGGGGCACGATAATTATCGCGCGGTCATTCGTTTGGTTTAAATTAACATATTATAGACCGCGTTGGGTTTTAGTAATTATTATTTGGCGATAGCGTGTGTCCTGTTCTCCTATTGTTTTCCAGCCGACTCCAAAACGCTGTTCATTAGCCGCTTATTGGATTTCGGTTGTACTCGAGAACACGTCTGGTCCGCGACAACACTGAAACAACAAATTCAATTACAGTCGCTGCGCGTTGCAGTTCGCCATGTATATATTATTTTTACTCTGGTCACGGACACGGCGCCCGCTCGCCGCCCGTCCCGAATCGGTCGAGGTGCGCTATATTACACTATTATTGCTCTTCCACTTTTCAACTCGCTTATATACCTCCCCTCCTTTGTTATTGTGTACCAGTGTTGTGTTCTGCGAGAGACGGTTGAATTCGTCTCGATTAATTAGATTAACGAGTTTTCAACTCTCTTGCCGTTAATTCGGAGCACAGCCGATTTAATTATGGAACGTCGCCATTGGCTGGCGCAAAACTGCGCGCCACTTTTGCAACTCTGACGGATTCGCTTTTTTTTTTTTCTTGAAAATTTGCCATCGATTACATTTTTGACGACGGCATTCGTTTGCTGTTTGAAACGTTCGTTTTTCGAACCACTGCACTTGGAAACAAGTGCAGTGTTGATGATCAACAACAGCGTATGTTGCAATACCGAAAACGTACAACAGCTCAGCAATGCAACTAGTGGTGGATAAACTTTTGGAAAAATTAACCATGTTACAGCTTAATGAATTGGCCATGCGTGTGATTCGTCCGAGATAACGGCGGTGTCCCATTGATGATCGTCCGAACCTCTACTTTTGTTCGAGTGCTCTTCTTTGAACCCTATTCGCGTGTTTTTTTAACGTAGTTTACACTCGATGAACAATGCGCATCAGTTTCGTACAAAAAGGGACCGGAGTTAAACATCTTTTGGAACACCATTAATTAAACTAAACAACCGCAAGGGGTCGAACAGTTCACTACTTTTCGACATATATTCGGTGCAACATATCCGACTTGCTATCAACAAGTAATGAATTAGCGAGTTTCACATAGGAAAGGGTAGACCGAGTCGACACCCTTACGCTTTTATTGAATCTCTTCAAGCGAGTGTTCACTACAAATACTTGAAATTCGGTAGACGTACTACTTGATATATTCAGACCAATTGGTAAACAACTTGTTCGCTAATATTAATTGTTTTAATTGAATTATTAATTAGAAAAAATGTCAACATTTCAGACGACTTGCCGCTAGCCTGGGACGAGATGAATTTTTTAATGTGTCCAGTTCAGATACCTTAGGTTAATCTTGAAAAAATTTACTATAATATATAGTAAATGTACTATATTGTAGTACGTTTTTTGTGGGAGTAAATATATGTACTCCTCCATTAAGAGTGAATATTAAGACATTTTAGACGTATTACGCAATTTTTCATTGGTCTATTACTGAGTAGTTAAACAAAAAAATGACGAGTAAAAATATATTAAAAGGGAATGAGCTGATCATACCCTTAGGTATGTTTTATGATAATTATTATGTTTATTTTTTCATAAAACGAGCTAGCTTAACTAATTATAAACAAATGATTTTACATAATCATAATATATACAGGGTGTTCAGTAAGTCAGGAAACAGGTTTCTATTGTTCTCATTGTTACAAACAATGAGAACAATAGAAACCCGTTTCCTGACTTACTGAACACCCTGTATATAATGTATTGGAATTTTCATGCGAGTAATGAAAAATATCAACTTAGACATTTACATTTTTATTCAATAGTCCTTCCTAGTACTCTTCTAATTTGAATTAGTTGTAAAATGTCAAATAATTTTTAATAAAGAAAGTTTTCTTTAGCTATTGCAGTAAAAATGTACTTTATTGACACTCTAATGAAAACCTTACGCCGTAAAACAATATTAATCGTTCTACACACTTAGATATTATTCGTAACAAATGTGTCAGTGCGATATAACAAACATAATTAAAATTATTTTCGAAAATTGTTCAAAAATAATTAATATATTTCCATAAAAATAAAATACCATAATTTTTTTAATGTAAGAAGATAATTTTATAACCGTCAACTCGTCTGGCTCTTTTCTAATAAAAATAATTATTATTTTTTAAATACCTGTGTTTCTAGTTTCAATATTACTTTTTTATAGTGCAATATAAATCTGTAATCAATTCAAGTTGGATATTCGAAAAGTTTTCGGTTTCCAAACACTTTACAAGTAGTTTAACCAACGCAACGTATTCAATTATAAAATCGCATAAATAACATGTTGATTTTTTATTTTGTTTCAGCTTAACAAAGATCTGGGTTATCGGATATACTCTGCCCTCGGCTCTTTCTACATACCTTCGTGCATCATGGTGTTTGTGTACATCCGGATATACTTTGCCGCCAAAGCGAGAGCACGCCGGGGCATCCGGAAGCCGCCATCAAAACCGAAGAACAAGAGCAAAACGACAGGCAAGAGCGGCGGGGGTGGACTGAACAGCCCTTCCGCGTTGTCGCAGACCACCAGTTTCATTACCAAACCGGGTACAGTTACGGTGGCCGGATCGTCTCGTTCGTCGCCACCGGCAACGCCGGTGACCAACACGTTGCCGGTGATAGCGTGCGACTACGCGAGCGATGCGAGCACGAGCGACGTCAGCAAGGATGGCGACAAAGACACGCTGAAAGTGTTCACTACGCAAGGTAGTCGCCGGCTAACGGTGAACGGAGACATCGCCGCCACCGGCGGTGGCCGATGTCGGGCGCCCAGCGTGGGCGTTGACGCGGACATGGTCAGCGAGCTGGACCCGTCGTCGTCCGATTCGGGCAACGTGCAGAAATGCGGCGTAGTCAAACCGGTCAAGGCCAGACTGTGTAAGCCCATTTTTGGCGGACGCGGCAAGTCCAAGGCGGCAGCGTCGGCCAAGGCAAAGCGAGATATCTTGGATACGGGCAAGGTGGCGTTGAGCGCCAGGGACGTGGCGCCGTCGCCGGCCTCCTCCTCGCTGACCAGGCCGAAACCCCGCGATCCGGAACGGGAGAAGAGAAGGATCGCCCGGAAAAAAGAAAAACGAGCCACGCTCATTCTGGGCCTGATCATGGGCTCGTTCATTGCGTGCTGGCTGCCGTTCTTCTTCATGTACGTGCTCACACCCCTGTGCAAGGTGTGCTACATACCGCCACAGGCGCTCACCATAGCCTTCTGGCTAGGCTACATGAACTCGGCCATCAACCCGGTCATTTATACGATATTCAACAAAGACTTTCGTCGTAGCTTCCGGCGAGTGCTATTCAAATAACGCGCCGTCGACAGCTCACTTCCAACCCCACCCGCTTGCCATATTTATTTTTCCCGTTTGTCTGTTCTATAGCTCTCTGTGTCCGCAATGCTCATTTGCGCCATGCGTTCTTTATTCCGGACAGTTGTAGCTGTTGGCAACACTACCCGCAAGTCTGAGTGGCCAATCGAACGCGTACATGGCGTACTAGACACACCGGAGAGCGTTATAAAAAAATTACATTTGATTTTTACCTTTGGACTCGAAATACGATATATTTTTAACGCTTTTTATCATGATTTCCAATTATGAACCGTACGCATTAAGCGCAACTACGATCTTGCATAAACGCTTACGTGCTGTCCACTACCATAAACACTTATGAAACAAAATAGTCCAGTGTGCAAAACATTACAGTTGTAGGCGCATCGTGAATAAAATGTTTTTAGTAGTTAAAAAACAATGTTATTTACACTATACTTTTAAGAACATCGTAGGAAACCATAAATATCGATGATACACCGCTTACAAAATAGCAATAAAAAGAGTAGACGCATAAAAAATACTGAATTAAATAAACATTTTTTTTTTCGAGCACGTGTAAACCCTTGTAAGTCTCATCAAATGATAACAGAAGTAATTTAGAAACTTTCAAGTGCAGTCATTTTCTCGTAAACTCAACTAAATTGGTATTATTATTATTATTATTATTATTAGAAACATTCTGTTACTCAATTCACTTAAATGTTTTATTATTCAACTACTCAGCGCTCATTTAAAAATTATGAAAATATTTTCGACTAATCTCACCGTTTGAATAAACCTGAGTGCATAAAGATAACTGGCAAATACATAAATTATTCAAGAGTAAATAATGCGTTTAGTAAATATAAATATTATAATTTAATAATTTCACTATAACGTGCTGCTACTTAAACTAAAGCAATTTGTTTAAAATTGATAATTAACATAATAATCCTAATTGTATTTTTATTTTGTTTGCCTTCAAACGGCTGTGATTACATTATATATTTTACAAAAGTTTTTCTTGTTATTTATAAAAACATGGAACCCAATTTACTCGTTGAGCAATAACGAAAACGTTGTCATTAAAATAAATTAATAAAATAATATTACATAGTTTTAGAGTTTATTTTTATAAACAAAACTGCTTTAATGTTAAAAATATTGATTCAACTAATGGGCAAACTTACTTTTACGAGAAACTCTTTTCCATTTTTTTTTTAATTACCAGAGGAAATAATATAATAAGCATAATACTCAAACTAAAACCATCCATTTATTTGTATACTATACATTAAGCAGAACATTTTATAATTTCTACGGAAAATAAAAATCACAAACAACGTATTTATAGAAAATATTTTAGTTCAGCCTTTTCTTTTATGAATATCAATAAAAAAATCCAGTAAAAACTTTAATATGTTTTTATGTAAAAAAAAAATAATAATAATAATAAAATCGTTAAAACTGAAATAAAATGTCATAGTAGAAACTCTTCATTATTTCATAGTACTATGTAATAAATTACAACAATAGTCTTGATGTAAAAATTATTCGAACAATAATGAAAATTTCATTGATTATAATTAAGAAATAATGTAAATATACTAAATGAGAGCTATAAATGTACTGCACGCGCAAAAATTGTAACCATATTTATTACATTACTCTAATTTTTATTTTATTATTAACATCTGATTGTAATTATACAAGAGTAGGCCTAAACAGTCACGCATACTCAAGTCAACCTTTAATAAAACAGGGTGTTATACTAAATGTTTTTAGACCTAAATACTGCGGTTTAAAATAATTCTATGTAATTAAGTGGGAAGTGCTTTACTCAAGTCAAAAAAAAAAAAAAATACACCAAAAATAAATGGACAAAAATTAATATATCTTCATATTTTTAATTTTAAAATTGCAATTAATATTTGAATGTCAAAACTCTACTGAGGAGCATTCAGATTAATACGGAAATGTTTTAAAGTGTTTATATAGTAAAATTTGTTTCATTTAAATTGATAATNATAGTAAAATTTGTTTTATTTAAATTGATAATTAATTTAGATAAATGTTGTTTGTATAAGTGATACAAAAATTAATTTCATGGCGAATTCGAGAATCGTTTTTGATTCGTCCAATAGAAGTTGTNAATTTCATGGCGAATTCGAGAATCGTTTTTGATTCGTCCACTAGAAGTTGACACAACTAGTCAAATAATATAACTCGCGAGTAAAACGTTCACCAAAAGGGATAAAAAAATAATAATAAATTCAACTGTTTTACTTCTATTTTTAAACGTTGTTTTTTTGTACTTTAAATAGAATTTACACATCTTTATTTGACAGTTAGGAAATACCGAGGTATTAATATTGGTCGGTTGGTTTTGGCACAGCTGTCTTTATTTCATGCTAAACGTTCACTGTGCAGTACCCATTATGTTCTCAGTTAAAATAAAAACAATAAATGAATGAAGCTGCTGGAAAAATATGTACATTTACTTATTTGTGTAAATGCGTCACTGAATAAAAAATCTGAAACATTTTATTTCACGTGAAAAAAAGTACATAAAACACGGCGATCACAAATAGCATACACAAATTATAACTAAATATTTTGCTCGTGTTCAAAAAAAAAAAACATAATTTATCGGTATATCGTAAATTTGTACTTGCATAATGCTTTGATGTAACAGACAATTAGTTAGCCATCAGTTTTATCATATAACATCCACTAGACATTTCAGTTAGATTTACTATCTCGTGTTTCACGTGGGCCCTTGGGATATTCCGAACGATTTGTCCGCGTATTAAATCATTTTGTTATTTTTACTTAGTTTTTTTTTTCATTAAGAAATAATCGCTCGAGTCTAAAACGACGTCTGTATGATCGATACACGTGACTACTTTGAAATTGTTTTACGTTTTATTTTTGGTTTGTCGATCACGTATCCCATTGACACGGTGTTAACATTAATACAAAAAAAACAATAAAAAAAAAATATCACACCCTACCAATATTGTTTTTTTTAACAATGCTTTTATTTACTTAAACGTACGTGGAAAACATCAACAACATAAGTTTTCGCGTGTACAAATATTGGTTTGCCATGAACAGGCAGTTGGAAAATCCTGTTAAACTGCCAATCATTCAGTTGGTCGTATCGAACCCGAGTAACCGACTAAAACCAATGTGGTTCGACCGGTGAAACAAAAAGGACAATTGCGGTTGGGTTGTTTGTACTATTTTTTCGGACTTGCTCTACGTTATTGCTGCTATTGTCGTTTTGTTCAACACAAGTGCTGGTCTCATATTTTTATTGAAACCGCTGAAAAATTCTAACCCGACGTTTTCATTGTTGTTATCATTGAGATTATTCTATTTTCCCCGTTGTCCAATATTTTACACATTTCTAACGGACGCTCTAAAAGAACAGATAAAAACAGTAATATGCACGAGTGCTACATCGTACACCTCCTCGTGTGACAATAATAATAATAAGATTAAATGGAAAGCCATTTTTACAATGTAACGTTTTGCCCACTTGACCATTGTTGAAGGACAAAGTAAACAGTAGATGTGTGTGAAAAACCCAACAGTATATTTTTTCTCCATTTTATCATTTTTATTTTTTAAAAAGCTACACAAAGTGCCCACAAAGATTTATGACTTTTACCCATAAATTCATTCTTTTTGCTAGTAAAAATCACATGATTTGTAATCATGCTACGTTTCATGTTAAAAATATATATTCAGAATGTACACACACACACACAATCATCCGATCGATCAATAACCATTTAAATACGGCAATGTATTGCAAAATGTAAAAAAAACCTTTGAAAAAATGTGCTATTTACATTATTGTGTGTTATTTGAAATAAATATTTTTAATTTACCTTTGTACAATTTGTGAAAAAAAAAAAAAAAAAAAACCGAAGCAAAAAATATTCGAACTTTATTTTTACGTTCGCTTTATTATGGGTCCAATACAAAAAGAGGACATTAATGCTTGAGCCTCGTACAATTTTTTTACAAGAGTTATATAAATAATAAAATACTTATATTAATGTTAATATTGTTTTAATAATATCAAAATTAACCATAATTGTATTCTAAGCGTACAAAACATAATATAATACATAATAATTATACTAGTTAAGTATGTAATTTTTTTCAATTTACTCAATTAATGTTTAAGTCCATTATTTGTAACACGTTATTGTTAAGAAAAGAAAATAACTATGAAAATTACATAACATAAATTTCTATTTTGTTGCTATAGCATTTTATACGAATTATATTTTAAAATTAGAATGTTTTTTTTCTACTCATTCATCTTTAAAACTCATAAAACCAATCCAATAAAATATTATCATGCCTTAATAGCTTTAGTTTAATAAGATTCTAGTCAAATTCGATGTAAATAATATTGTAGTAATAAACAACGCCGAATGTTTCATTTGGTAATTTGTTCAAGTTCAAGCGAACAAAAATTATCATATTAATTTCTCCTATTTCTCCTGACTATTCACTAAGACCAGATCTTTTAGCTTTAGTAGTTCAAACAATATTCTAAATTACAGAAATCTTAATGTACACACTTATTAGTAAATAAGTTCACGTTATTAAAATTGTTTTTTTAACGATCCAATCACAAAACAAAACAGAAACTGTTGAAAATTGTATAACTCGTACTTTTAGTATAATATTATTATATTGTCTTCCATTTATTCCTATTTAAATAAAACAAATATTAATAGGATAACATGTTTTTACAAATTTTATTTTAACTTAAGCTAAATGTGTTTACTTCCAGACACACCAAACGAAAACAGTGCATTTTAATCTAGAAAATTTTATTTTAAAAATTATTGATAATTATTGTTATACTGAAAAAGTTTATTAATCTTATTTATTAGAATTATAAGAAATAATTATACAGTCATGAATAATAATATTTATTATTCTCGCTGTAAAGTTTATTATTGTTTACATAGGTTTAAAATTTACTATGATCATTATTATTATTATTATTATTATTATAATTATTATTATTATCATGATCAATGACAAAAAAAAAAAATGAAATTATTCTAAACAAATATTTGTGTTCTTATTTATACTATTACACGTATTAATTGTTGCAAATAACAAAGTTTCTAGACAATTTTATACTCTGAGTTTATGTTTATATTTATATTACATCTATAATTGTATACAATTGTATGCCACTAAATATTTCTACTGAAATAATGTTTTAGTCAACTGCGTTTCATAGGCGTAGTCTGATAAAACTTTTTGGGTAAACTAAATGTAATTTTTCATTTTTTAATACATATAATTTTTCAAAATTTATTTTTGAGAGAGGGGGTCAATTCTTAGTTGGTAATTTACTTTTTTAAAAACTAAAACTGTATTTTAAAAACTAAACTGTACGATTTTTTTATAGGTGCGGAGGGTCATAAATAATTATTTAAAATAACGAAAAAACTTTGTTACAGCTGTTCGACTATAGGAAAGAGAGTGCACAATAAGACAATTTATAAAATAATTATTTACTAATTATCATTATAAGATAAATTAATATTCAAAGTGCTCTATCTATCTAAATGATTTTTTATTTTGCTTGATTGAAAATTAGACGAAAATTATAAAAAGAACATAATTCAATAATTCTAATTCAACATTTTATTTAGGTTTATTTGCCATAAAAAAAATATATAAAATGTTTCATTGTGAACCGTCGATGAAACCATCGGATAAAAGATTACTTTTTAAGGAAATGAGTATCTGGCATCATTTAAATTATTTTTATAAAAAAATAATGTTCAGTTCAGATCAAATTTTATAACTTTTGTTTAAATAAAAGCAAATTGAAGTGTTAAAAAAAAAATAAAATATTTTAACGTCCTCATGAAAAAAAAGAAGCTTATCCATCAAATTAAAAACCTATGTTTTACTGTCAATCGATAGATATTTTTACACTTGATGGACTTTTATCGTAAAATGAATTTTTTTTTGTGATGGAAAATGAACAGGTGTGCATTTTTTAATCTTCATATTATTTCATTCATACCATTATGTATAATTTGTGTCACAATATAGCTCGCATGGTGTCATTAAGTTAAGAGTATAAAATATGTACTTAATAATTACATAAACTATGAGTGCGCATGCTAAAATTAGTATTTATGTGTTTTAAATAAAATTAAATAATCA